GAATCTGTCTTTTAAGTGAAAATTTAAAAATAGGTTATTTATGGAAACAAATAAAAATTAGTGTGTTATTGAGCCTGAGGTGATTTTTGTTAGTTCAGATATATACTGGCAATAAAGGCTGATTTCAGCATCAAAATACATTTCAAATTTAGAAAATGTTATTACCATTTCAAAAAGTAAAGTTTCAATATAGTTTCTGGCGAATAAGTTTTTCAAAAATATTAATTGTTTTTTAATAATTAACTAATTGAAGCTTTTCTGCTCTGAATTTCTTGAATCTTGATCAATTGACGTGAAATTTGATAATAACATTCATTGAACCAAGAAATCTTTTTGATATTTAAACTCTTCATAAAGTGAAACTACATATATTTGTTTGTACAACTGTTTACTGGTCACAAAAATTCCAACATGAAATGAAAAAAAATTGAAAAGATGTCCATAATTGTAATACCAGACAAATAAACTGTTTCAATGTAGACCAATCCAACAAATCATTATTGTTATTCAAAATTCATTTTCCAGAAGGGATAAAACTACAAAATCTCTAGAGAAATTTAAAAACAAATTGAAAAATTTTTTTGGAGAAATGAACTCTCACTATTGATTTTTTGTCACTAATTATTTTTGACCATCTGGAATAAAATAATGTTGTCAAGTATTATTAGTACAGGAATAATGTCAATCCACAAAATACTTTTTCCCCAATTTTTTTTTCATTTTCTGTCAGAAAGGTGTAGTTTTCCCCACTTGAAAATGAAAATCTCGTCTGGCATATGTTACTTTTGAAGTTAAAGGTAGGATGAACTCGATCAATATCAAATTTTCATGAAAATCGAATGTTCAACGGATTCGGAGGCAATTATTTTTTTTATTTTCAGCTACTATACTAGAGTATAATAACTTTTGCATCAAATATCACGAAAAATCGTGAGATTTTTCATTCCGAAATTTTTAAATGGGTTGTAAAGGATTTGCTAAAAATTATACTTATGTTTTGCACCTGAGTAAACGTACATGGAGAATACCACCCCTCAATGAATAGCTTAGATTGACAGTAACAATTTTTTTTTAACAAATTTGATTTTTTTATCGACATTATTTGAGGGGCATGATGGAAAAAGGGGGTGGAATTTAGCTGCAAGACATTGCA